TTCTCTGACAGGGCCAAGGCTAGGAAGGAAGATACAATTCTTGTACATGGCGCTAGTGGCGCGGTAAGTGACTGGGAGAGTTGACTTATAACAATGTAATGGAGAGTTGACTTATAACAATGTAGTGGAGAGTTGACTTATAACAATGTAATGGAGAGTTGACTTCTAACAAAGTCCACAAATTATCCTAATCATTCATTCATTTTCTGTGTAATAATTTATTCAAATACTTTCTTTAGATACTCTTCTTTATGTTATTTGTTAATTATCTTTATACTTCAGCAGCGATACACGACATTCTTAAGTAAAATAGAAATTAAATGTGTGAATAATTTGATTACTTTTTACTGTCACCACGTTCTAATAAATTTTCTCATGTAAAAAAAACAACAAATCTTTATTTTCATTTAAACGATAACTTAAAATTATATCAAAATTAGACATTTGAATTTTTAGCATTGTCCTTAAAATCACCCCCCCCCTTTTTTTTTTTCATTTAAGCTTTAAAACTAAGTTTGCGCACAAAATTTCTCCCAGGTTGGCATAGCCGCTGTCCAGATAGCCAAAGCAAATGGTCACCGCGTGATAGGCACAGCTGGCACGAAGGAAGGACTTGAGCTGGTGAAGAGGATAGGAGCTGATCTGGTGTTTAACCACAGGGAAACTGGATACATGGACGAAATACAGGTCAGTTGACTGGGTTTTTAACCGGCTGGGTAGCTGGACAAGTGGATGAAATACGAGTTAGCTGACCTAGCTTTTATCCCATGGTTAAACTGGGTGCCTGGTTCACAGTACAGCAGAGTTGTCACTATCCACGTTAATGGTTGTTCTTCCTTAAATTGCCCCAACTCAGCTGTGATACAGAGTAACGCTAGGAATTCTGACAGTCTCGTCTCCCATGGATAGGCTTGAGAATTTCAAACTTGGTTTGGGGGGGGGGAGAAAGGGGTGGGGGGCTGGTGGTGTGTCAAACAAGTTTGCTTGTTAGCCCCATAATAAGTTATCTTTTGCATTAAATTCAGTGCTATGCTTTTTTTCAAATCCAGAAAGCCCAGAAAAATGCCGGTGTTGACGTCATCCTGGAAATGGTTGCCAACATCAATTTGGATAAAGACCTTGACCTTCTGGCAAAACGAGGCCGTGTTGTGGTGCGTACATTAATTTTAGTAAGACTGTGGAAATGAAACTTTAACTTTGTGTAGTTGCAAACCTTAACAAATGGAATTCGTATGTTGGCTGTGTGTTTGCAAACCTTAAACAAAGCAATTGAGTGTTGACTTTGTGTGTTTGCGCAACCTTACCAAATAGAAATTTTATGTTAAAATATGATAACATTATTATATTAGCGATCGTCAAATATGAGAACACACAGTGTAAGGAAGTGGGGGCTGGTATGGACACAAAGCAATAATCGTTATAATTGTTTAATTTTTCTCATCACCTTTACAAAGGTCGAAGTCGAATTTGAAGATGATTATTTAATTATTTTATATTCGTATAAACATTAAACCAGGTCTCGAAAAAGACATCACTCACTCCAGTCGGGTGTGTGCACCTCCTAACCCCTCCCACCCAAAACAAAAAAAGGGGTTAGAAACATGTAACTTAAATCAAGAATATTATTACCATTGGCTGACTGAATGGCGACTCATAAACTTACCATTTCACGTTCAAATACACAATGACAAATATAGTGTTTTGACCGTTTCCTATTTTGTACTATTAAGTGGAACATGGCATGGATTTATTGGATAACGGCATGGAGTTATGGGTCGTATCATGCATTTGGCAAAGTATTAATTTACGATTATTTCAAAAGATTTTTTTTTTTTTTTTTTTTTTTTTGAACAGATTATCGGATGCCGCGGAGAAGTCAAGATTGACCCCAGGAAAACAATGTTCAAAGAGAGCAGCGTCTTGGGGATCAGTCTCCTTACGGTGGATGACGTAAGTTTAAGTTTGTCTGTAACAACTTATAGGGAGGTTCGAGTATTGATGTCTATAACATCTTAGTTTTCCATGTCTCCTGCAACATTGGGGGCTGTTAATGAGGCCTAAGTCAGGCTCACCCTCATTGTTTCTGTCCGATGACCAGATTTTTGATTTTTGACATGTCCAGAGTGCCGGACCAACTGAAATATTACATTCTTTTAAAACAGGGGTTCTCAACCTTCCTAATGTGGCCACCCTTTGATACAGCTCCTCATGTAATGGTGACCCCCAACCATACAATTATGTTCGTTACTACTTCATAAGCATTTGTTTTCCGATGGTCTTAGGCGACCCCTGTGTAATGGTCGTCCGACCCCCCAAAGGGTTCGCGACCCACATATTGGGAACCGCTTTTATAAATGGACCGAGCTACTGGTCTTTTATTCTCCGGTGAGCACTTTACAGGCATGCAGCATCTGCTGCGCAACAACGTAAATCAGGCTTTCGACGTGGATGTCTGTGGGGGATTCCCTGCCCCACTCTACTGGTTAGTGTTGGGCAGTCGGCTAGCGTGTGCTCCACTGTCTCCCCGGTGCCTGTCTGCAGTGACGGCAGCTTGGGTCCCGAAGCGGATGTAATCTGTCCAGATAGCTACGAGGGCAGGACCAGCTGCTCTGAGCGAACTTGCTTTGACCCCATGACAGGGAACCTTGTGTCATTGCATTGTTAATTCTAAGCAAACATTTCAGACTACAATTTTGAGTGTTAGCATAAGTTAATAATGTTTTTCTCTTGTTAGAATCATACTAGTTAACAGATAGCATTCACTTCTACCTTAGTACTGAAATTCCTCCTTTTTTTTTTTTTTTAGTTCTCTACGTTTATACGAAGAGAAAAAGCAGAATTATTATTTGTTTTCCTATGTTGCTAAGAAAATTTCCAGTGCTAGAAATGAGACTTACTTTACTGCTCAAAATGATCCAGTAGTTTGCACTGTCCACCTATCGATATTTCGTAAAAAGAAGTCTAAGATATCAATGACATGGTCGTATGCGTTGCAGGATGAATGGAAGGAGCTGAAAGAAGGAATTGAGAAGCTTCAGAAGAAAGGTCAGATCCAGCCAGTCGTGTCCAAGGAGTACAAGCTGGACGAGGCGGCCAAGGCACAGACCGATATCCTCGAAAACACGGGGACCGTGGGGAAATTAGTGATTGACACAACCAAGTGAAGACATTAGTAGGATATGATCAAAAGGCAGCGAAAGACAAATAAAGGACACATTAATTGACACAATCTTTAAAAAAGCACATTAGTTGACACGACCCATAAAAGACACAGTCGACAAGATAAATAGAAGACACATTAGTTGATACAATCCTTAAAAGACACAGATGACAAAACAAATAGAAGACACATGAATTGACCGCAATCGATAGAAAACACATTAGTGGACACAATCCATAAAAGACACAGTTGAAAAACTAAAAAGAAGACACATTAGAGTTGACAAAACAAATAGAAGACAAATTAGAGTTGACACTATTGATTGAGGACACAACTATAGTCCTCCCAAGCCGTAACAAATTTCATATTTATTGATTGTATTAGTTAAGGCTACGATTTTCTGTTGTAAATCATACCACAATCATTTTTTTTTTTTAAAATTAAACGCCATTATTCTTATTTATGATCAATAGTATTGGTTATTTTTTTCTTTAACACACAATTTGTTGCCTTAGAAATGGTTGAAAGTTTATAGGAACCTTATACTCACATAAATTATAATTCTATAATTCAAACATTACAAATCTTATCTTTAGTCGTATGTTAAATTATGAGTCAATGCAGGATTTGGGGGACGCAATGTAAACTTGGTGGTGTATTTATGTAGTAAACAATGTCATAATAGCTGAGACTCATCACAATGTCATCGCTATAGCTTGGTGCCATCTTAAAATCATCACAATGTCATCACTATAGCTTGGTGCCATCTTAAAATCATCACAATGTCATCGCTATAGCTTGGTGCCATCTTAAAATCATCACAATGTCATTGCTATAGCTTGGTGCCATCTTAAAATCATCACAATGTCATCATCGTAAGGTCATTATTATATCTTCATGACGTCATCATGTCATGCCAATGACTTAATGTAATCATAACGTCATCATAACGTCATCATAATATCATCATGATGGCTTCATAACGTCATCTTAATGTCGCCATAATGTCGCAAGTGGATATATCAAGGGCCCGCAATCCTTTACAAATTCCAAAATAATTTTGTCATTAAAAATAAGCAACACTAACAGTGGTGACGACGTCATCACCACCAGCTGATTTGACACTTGTGTGACGTAAACATTACAAACGCGAAAACAAGAAAATTGCTTTTTAAAATTTTTTTGTTGTTGTTTTAAATGCGATTACTACCATTAAGTTAAAAATTAGTTTGCTTTTTCCGCGTATCTGTGTCATATCATCTAGAAGGACCAGGATGAGATCAATATTTGGCGAATGAAAAGAAATGAGTTTCAAGCAAGGCCCTCGGAAATCTCTTCAAACAGGAGCTGCATGCCGAGGCACTACCACGTTATGTGTCTTTGTCACGTGACATCTCGAGGTTTACTGGACCACACATACAGCTGTATGTGAAACTAGCCTCTTCAAGAAAGTAAACTGTTAAAGTTTCACCTCACCCTCACTAAATCAACGTTTCTGGCCCCCCCCCCCCTGAACAGTCATTTAACAACCATGTTGGGGTGCGTGCGCACTCCTAGGTTGGGAAAGTCCAGAGTTTCTTCGGGAGGGCTGGGTGGTCAAACTTTTGGCTCGCCCCGGGCGGCTCTGAGATCCCAAGATATTCAACCTGTGTGGGGCTCGACTTATGCCACTTAAAAAAAAAAATACGAACATACCACCAAGTCCATGCCAGGTCATAAGATTCTACATGGATAACACCAGAGTTGTGTAAATTACTGCACTGCTAAAACCACTGAGGAAACAATCGCATCAAATGCATATTAAAGTGTACAAACAAAAATAAAATAAAAAAATTAGCTCAACAGTCACGCCATTAGTTTTATTGACTCAATTTTCATGAGTTTCAACTATGTCAACAAAGCACGGTATGTACAGTGTGTTGATTTTAAGGCCAGTTACGAGCAGAGATAAAAGATTAAACGAATCAATTGATCAATCTACTTGACGATTTTTGTGTCGAAAGACAAGGGAAATCAAGGGGTCAGAGATTAACTTAATCTCTAACACATCCTTCAACACAATGGATTGATCCAGACAAAAGGTCCAGCGTTCATTAAAAAAAAAAAAAGGGGGGGGGGGTTCGATGTTGTTATTAGCTGAGAGTTTTGATGAAGTCATCAACAGAATTAGTGTTGGTGTCATGAAAGGGTCGTTTTGCTAATGTCTTTCTTGAAATGAATGTCTTTAACGTCATTAAAAGGAATGATTTTCTGATGTCATGGAAGGAATGTTTTGTGGACGCGAGGAAATAATTAAAGGAATGTTTTTTTTTTCTGATGTTATGAATGGAATGTGTTGAGGATACCATTAAAGAAATATTTTTCTGAAGTCATGGAAGGACTTGGTCAGTTCCTCTTATATCTGTGTGATATCAAGTAGTCACCATACCCCAGGAATCATACCCCTAGGTATCATACCCCTAGGAAAGTCTTGGTTTGCCCTGGTTGTGCAAAGGCTCAGAGGTCCTCAAGGTTATAACCGTAGGGTCGGTTCACTGACCTTTAGACACTATCGTGGGCCGAACTTTTGAAAAATAGGAACGAATTCCTAAGCCCACTACGCATATTTTATTTTATAGTGCTAAAGACATGAGAGAAAATCAATATATATATAATAAAGAACTATTTTAATGAACATAAACGTAAAAGAATTTAAATGGAAATTATGGGCTTGATTTCGCCTAATGAGATGTTGAATGTCAGGATCTATATTTGTCACTGCTATCCCGGCAACCCTTACGGCAGCCAGTTGGGCCGGGTTTGGGACACCGGTGGGTCGGATTTGGCCCGCGGACCGCTGCTTGAGGGCCTCCTGCTGTTGACCGTCATGTTTGCGCACGTCAGGATTGTACCTAAACATAAGCCAACATCAAGAAGTGCAGCACTGAGATCTGCTGCTGGTGTCACGTGCGCTGTGAAGTGTGGAAGGAGACAACCGAAAAGCCATGTCCCGTAAAGGAATCCTTGCACCGTGAAATAGTTCCTTCATTTTCTTTTCCCTTAGCACAGTGGCTGTAAAAAAAAATGTTTTGTTATTGACATTTTTAAGTGGAACAATTTTGTGTGTTAGATCTAGTATAATTATAAAAATAGGTTAAACTTATTTGGAGATAAAAGTTTTCAAAGTTGTTTTTATTGATTAAAATTGTGTCTGAAATCCCCAAGACAGGTTTGAAAACATTTTATTAACAAAAAATTGCATAGACGACATTGCTGGTTAATGTTCTTAGATATAAATCGAGACTCATAGATGTAAGCTAAGCCACTAAGACATGAACTAAGTCACTTAGATGTAAGCTAAGCTCATAGATTTAAGCAAAGACTCATAGATATAAGCAAAGATCTATAGGTATAAACTAAAACTTAAGAATGTAAGCTAAAATTCATAGATGTAAGCTAAGACTCGTAGAAGTACGCTAAGCCCTTAGACATAAACTAAGCCACATAGACTTAAACTAAAGTAATAAGAATAATCACATTAAAAAAATTAAGAATATTCAATTTTAAAGCACTTAGAATATTCAAATTTAAAGAATTTAGAATAATCAAATTTAAAGCATTTAGAATAATCAAATTTAAAGCATTTAGAATAATCAAATTTAAAGCACTTAGAATGATCAAATTAAAGTACTTATCATAATCAAATTTAAAGTATTTAGAATATTCCTTTAAAGATTATACTTAGGCGAAAATAGCTACTCACATAACTGTTCAAAAATGGTTGTAATTTGTTCACCGGTGATGGCCGATGTCTCCAAAAAGAATAAATTATTTCTCTCGGCTTTTTCTTTACCTTGCTATGCAAAAACAACAAAGACACATATTTCAAGACGTGTTCAATTTATGTGTGTTCAATTTATAAACTGAATCCTTGCGTATGTCAAAAGATATGGCTGTTCTTTAATAAACGAGGGAAAGACATACCTAGATGTTTCATCTATACAAACAAAAAATAAATAATTAATTAAACGAATTTAAATTTCGCTTTACATGAGTCATAAAGCTAAATAAATTAACGGCGTCATGCGACATGATTTGTGTTTAAACACAGCCAGTCTTGTAAGAGCATGAATCGAAGCGGTCAAATCACCTGTTTGGTGACCTCTCTCTCGTCAGCTTTGTCAATTTTGTTGGCCACCAGTATGACGGGGACGTCGTACGGCAGGTGATTGTTGACAAAATACAACCAACGATCAACGTTGTTAAATGAGGCCTGGGGGAAATATATCACAGCACAGTGTTGACCAAAAAAAAAAAAAAAGAAATAACAAAAAAAAAAAAAAAAAAAAATGATTGTTGAAAAAAAACAACCAACGATCAACGTTGTTAAATGAGGCCTGGGGGAAAAATATCACAGCAAAGTGTTGACCAAAAAAAAAAAAAAAGCAATAACAAAAAAAAAACAAAGAACAAAGTTAGTCAGACAAAGAGATATAGATCTAAGCATTAATTGAAACGACATGCTGATCTTATTTTAATACAAGATATTTTCTTTTATTTATTTTTTGATAAAAGGGTAATTAGTAATACATTTGCATTTATTTCTATGTTAAGATGTTTGTGTACATTTTAATGCGGGTATTGGGGGGGGGACTTTTTTATCCCCATAGTTTACCCCCAAATAGATGTGATTTTACAAGCTTTGCGCTCGTGGTTTGAAACTGAGAAAACTCTAGACTTTGTCCATTTGACAATTTAGTCCATTTACACGACAAGTATGTGTTTTACTTGTAAAAAAGTATACGTTAAATGTGACCTGATAAATGACTGAGTTCCTCGGAATGTTTTAGCGTAAGGTAAACAATGGTAACTAAGCCAAATGAACAAACAAACATAAAACACGTCCGTTCATACTAGCTGCCGAACCACCCCCCTAACCACAAGCGTATTGTGTGCGTTCATTTGTTAAGCGGTGCTCTATCACACTGGTCAGAAGCTGTGCTCTTAAAAACGTAACTTTCCGCCGTAGAATTATATAATTTTATTCATCTCCATTTGAGCCCTCATTACTCCCAAGATTTTCCCTTTTACCCCATATGGAGTAATTTACCCCGACTCGCTGATCCCTGCTTTAATGGCTATATGAATATGTAAATGTTTTTGTCTTTCATTATACATCCTATACAATTTTTTTTTTTTTTACCATCATGAAATGCAGAGTAAATTTTTTTAAATGTCAATTAATATTAAGATAAGTATTATTTTCCTTAGATGGAATACTATGTTTTATGAATTATTGGTTTTAATATAAAGTATTTAAATAATGGACAGTAACAGTTCAACAACAAAAATATCCGAATTTTCTAAATTACTATAAAAGAACAATTTACAGTAAACTGCTCACAATGCTGGTGACATCATAAACTATAAACTCACGGTGCTGGTGACGTCATAATAGATGCCCTCTGACCTAAACGCGAGCAACTCACGGTGCTAGTGACCTCGTTAACTATCACCCCTGACCTAAAAGTGAGCTACTCACGATGCTGGTGACCTAAGAAACTATGACCTGTGACCTAAACGCGAGCTACTCACGGTGCTGGTGACGTCGTACACTATGATGACAGCATCCATGTTCCTGACATAGTTTGCCATAACGCCTTGAAATTTCTCCTGACCCGCTGTGTCATAAATGGTGTATCTGACCCGGTCACCACTGGGGTACAGCACGTTTTTAGTGGTCAGTTCACAGCCTGCAGAAAGGGATCGAATACTTGCCGAAGTTTAAAAACATTTTTAAAAATTTATTGTTTCAACAAAAAACAATGTGCTCTTATCGTTTGAGCACAGTCAAATGTTACCACAAAATGAAATATACAAGTTTTCGTTTTGATTAGGGTTGTCCAATTTTCTTGATCAAGTGATGTCATAGTAAAATTTGGAAATAAAGCAGTGGCACTTTCTAGTCTTTGGAGTGACACAGCTCATCCTGCTTGCCAATGGACATATTTATAAATGTAATATTGCCTTCTGAAAGCATACATTTATTATATTGTCTTCTGAAAGCATACATTTATTATACAGTATTAAAGTATACATGCTGTCAAGACAATGCGACAACATACCACCCTCCCCCCCCCCCCCACAATAAGAAAACACACAATTATCAAGCCGCATATTCAGATGACTTCATACAGCTGACCAGTGGATATTAAGGCAGCAGTCATAATTTTCAGCTGAGAAGGTCTCACGCATTTACGCATGTCTAATGCCCCATGAACACTAAACTCACAGATGGTCGCCCTGGGCAGGGGGTTTTCTTGGGAGCTGAACGATGCGGCGATGGACGTCTTGCCCACGTCGGAGTCGCCCAGCATCGAGACTTTGATGTCGTAGACGGCGCTCTCGACAGCTTTCCCGATGGCAAATGTGCTGTGGACGGACGTAAAAAGCTTTAAAAACAGATTTCGATGCATGCATGTGTAGATTTAATTGAATGACGTCATGCAGGGGTTCTCCCCCCACGGAGGGGTGCGAGAAGACCCCCGACGATCAGGTTAATTCGCATGTTTATGGTGGTGGGGTGGGGGTGTGGTGTATGCAGATGCGTAGCGAGGGTGTTTGGCGCCCGGGGACAAAATTCGCGCCCGGGGACAAGATCCATTTTAAAGCGCCCCCTATTCTTTTTTTCAACTTTCAAACCCATTATTTTTATCAATAATATAATAGCAAAACACATTTTGGCGCCCCTAACTAGCCTTCGCCCGGGACATCTGTCCCCCCTGCCCCCCTCGCTACGCCTCTGGGTTGGATGTTTAGAAATAAAGTCAGTCTGCGGTGCTGCCAAAAAATTTAAGAACCTCTGATATCATGTTATCGTTTAAAAATCTTGTAGTCCATCTTCTTTATATATTCTGATGAATTTTTGATGAAACAAATCCTGCTACCCTTCACCTTGCCAGGAACATAAAACCGGTATTTTAAGGGTTCTCACTGTATGTGTACAACCTCAACATAAAGATCTATTTCTTTTAATCCATTTTCTTCCACCAAAAAAAAAGGGGGGGGGCCATTTTCCTAAGAGTATATTGTAAATCCTCAACCACATAATAAACTTTGCATTTGAGCGAAATGATTTACAGAGTGGCCCCAAAATAAAGTGATAACATCGCTTCATTGACAGAAGCATGAACGAGTGGCCCCAAAATAAAGTGATAACATCGCTTCATTGACAGAAGCATGAACGAGTGGCCCCAAAATAAAGTGATAACATCGACTTATTGACAGAAGCATGAACGAGTGGCCCCAAAATAAAATGATAACATCGCTTCATTGACAGAAGGATGAACAAGTGGCCCCAAAATAAAGTGATAACATCGCCTTATTGACAGAAGCATGAACAAGTGGCCCCAAAATAAAGTGATAACATCGCTTCATTGACAGAAGGATGAACAAGTGGCCCCAAAATAAAGTGATAACATTGCCTTATTGACAGAAGGATGAGCGAGTGGCCCCAAAATAAAGTGATAACATCGCTTCATTGACAGAAGGATGAGCGAGTGGCCCCAAAATAAAGTGATAACATTGCCTTATTGACAGAAGCATGAACGAGTGGCCCCAAAATAAAGTGATAACATCGCTTCATTGACAGAAGGATGAACAAGTGGCCCCAAAATAAAGTGATAACATTGCCTTATTGACAGAAGCATGAACGAGTGGCCCCCAAAATAAAGTGATAACATCGCTTCATTGACAGAAGCATGAACGATGGGCGCCTACGCTAACATAAAGTCAAAGGGTGGTAAATGGGGGGGGGGTGCCCACATTGATACAGTTTTTTTTTCTGATTAGTGTCATACTTGGCTAGCAACTGCAAATGACAAAACAATGTATTAATTTAGTTGTTTTAAATGATCCTTCGCCACGAGATGTTCTCAATTTTGTCTGTGGGGGTGGGGGCATCCTGTGTGGTTGGGGGTGGGGGAAGGGCACCCTGGAGGTCATCCTGGTAATAATACTTTGAGTTAAGTTTAATCCTTTTTTTAGCATGTTCCTGTTTCGTAGACATATTACCACTGATCATGTTTCACATAATGCACATATACCCGTAGTGTTATCACTGAGCTAGTGCAGTACGGGTTAGGTTTCGTAGACATATTACCACTGATCATGTTTCACATAATCCACATATACCAGTAGTGTTATCACTGAGCTAGTGCAGTACGGGTTAGGTTTCGTAGACATATTACCACTGATCATGTTTCACATAATCCACATATACCAGTAGTGTTATCACTGAGCTAGTGCAGTACGGGTTAGGTTTCGTAGACATATTATCACTGATCATGTTTCACATAATCCACATATACCAGTAGTGTTATCACTGAGCTAGTGCAGTACGGGTTAGGTTTCGTAGACATATTACCACTGATCATGTTTCACATAATCCACATATACCAGTAGTGTTATCACTGAGCTAGTGCAGTACGGGGTGGGCAAGAATTCAGCCGCTCGTTTTCCCCCAGCCTAAAAAAAAGCAACAACAAAAAAGACTGGGCTATGGGCCGAAAATATCGCTCCCCTCAAAATATAGAAGAAAAAAAAGTGCCGCCCCTGACGCACTGCCCCCCTCCACCCCAACATTCCTCCCCTGTGACATTTATACAATTCTACTTTTTATAAAAATGATGTAAATTTTTGCAAGTGAACCGTGGCATAGTTGTAGGTAAAGTACATTACACACATCTCTTGTTTAGCGTGGACTCTGACAGAAAGTGATAGGGCTGTCTGTGATAATACGAGATACGGCACGCCAAACAAGGACCACCCACTAAGGTTACTGAGTTCAAGTACCGCACTCGACTCTATAGAAGAATCCCATTTAGAGCTCACCCTACCCAAGTTCGCAACAGCAAACTTTTTATTTTTGTTATTTTTTGTTTTCAAGCCCCTTGAACTACATTAATATTCAAATGCTCCACCTAAATTTATATCACAAAGTTATAACACCATATTTATAGTGAGACCTTTCCGCAATTCAAAAGAAAATATTACTCACCAAACGCACTTGCGGTATATAATTTAATAATCTCATTTAGGGCAGTTACCGGGAATTTTATGTATAGTGAAATCAGCGCCGCCTGATAGCGTTGGTGACATTGTTGCATAGAGAATTATACGGTTTGATCTTTACACATAGCAAACATTAAATACGGTATTATGAGATAAGTGTGTGTGGTGGTGACTTAATTTTTAGGCCGCTGTCCATCGGTGTTTTCTCATTTTTTTAAAATCATTGCTGCCACCTCTCTATCTATCACTCTCTCGCTCTTCTTCTCTACCTCCCTCTTTCTCTCTTCCGTTTCGCTCGTTATCCTTATCAAGCGCTTATCAAATAGATTACATATCGACAGCTTCGTCAGAGTTACATTAACGAAACTGTTTTAAGACGTGAAGACTATTAAGTCCACCCTAATAGTTTCGAGCCATTTTCTGTTCTTGTTCACCGAACTTCGCAGACTTAGTATACAGATTTCATTGTTTTCAAATGTCCCTAAGTAATCCAATCACCGCTTTGTTATTGAGTTCATAAAAATAATATAGAATTACAGGAATCTGCTGATTCGAAATTTAAAAACAGAAAAACAGATGACTCAGAGACCAGTCGTAGTTATATTTGGACGTTCACTTGTACATACAAAAGGATATATAATGTACGTACATATGTACACACTCAAGACGTACATACTTACCTACATAATGGATATATGACGTACATATGGACAAACTTATAAATATATGGACGTACATATGGACAAACTTAAGGTTATATGGACGTACATATGCACACACTCAAGGATACATGGACGTACAAATGTACACACTCAAAGATACATGGACGTACATATGTACACACTTGAGGATATATGGACGTACATATGTACACACCTAAGGATACATAGACATACATGTGTTAACGCTTAAAATTAAATGATGTCCAGTCCACGTTTTTCAGTCTCCTAACTCCCCAGCCCCCTCCCCCCCCCTCCACAGGTTGGCAACCTGTCGATTAGAGAAGGAAATATTATATGGGGCGGTTGGTGAAGGAAAAGGTGGGTGGGGGTGGTGGGGTGGGGGGCTGGCGAAGCTGTCCTCCTTGGGGCAGTACTGATATGAAAGGGGATATAAGAAATCTATTTTTTCAAAGTAGATGGTGTGGGGCAGTAGTGTTTAAAATGGATTTTTTTTTTCAAAGATAATCTCCTTTATGTTTTTCATCTATTGGTGATCAATGGACTGACCTATATCATTATTATTCAGAGGTTCAGATCTACGGACTCTTTGCTCTTTATAATCGCTACTTTACTTCCCGGCATTTCGCACATTTTGTGGGCGGGTCCAAAAAAAAAAAAAGGCTAAATTTGTTTTCTTTCCAGATGTCCTTTATTTACAACCCCTTATCTGGAAAAAGGGGCAACACATTCCGTTCGAACAAACTTCCTTCAATTTTCCATCCAATAAATTTATTTTGTACAATTTTATATTTTCTCTCACTGAACTTTTTGAAAACGATTTCTTTGTCAATTAATTGGCGAGCGAATAGGTCAATTGGTCATAAATCCGGCATACACGGGCTAAAGATATGATTAGTCTCAAATTTTAAGCATTTAGAATGTTCAATTTTAAAGCGTTTAAGAAAATTCAAATTTAAAGCACTTATTCGAATACCACATGAGATGTGTAAGAACGTGGTGTTCGAAGCTTCAGAAAGCGGACGTTTATTTTCCTTTACGTAGTGATCTGATGAGTGAAGCTGTAGCGCCTAAAATTATGCAACAGTTTGCCTTAATCTATGATGGAAATTGAAAAATAATTTAAAAAAAAAAAATTATTTAAGAAACATTTAAAGACTCCCCCCCCCCCTCTTAATAGATTTTATGACACCAGAGGGCTGTGAGCGTGGCAAATTACTAAAATAAAAAAAAAATTAAAAAAAAAAAATTATTTAAGAAACATTTAAAGACCCCCCCCCCCCCCCTCTTAATAGATTTTAGGACACCAGAGCGCTGTGAGCGTGGCAAATTACCATGGATACAAACACTACAAAAGTATTTAGTCATCATCATTAGCAGAAGGTTTGAAATAGGATTGAAATATTCTATCTACTATTTCTTTGTAAAAGTTTCTTACCCTGCACTTTCCATTAGTGTGAGGCGTGTCACTCTCACATCTACAGACGTGTGCACCAGTGACGCCAGCTCTCGGACATGTGTGACAGTGATACTAAATGTTCGACACGGTGTTTTGTCAGCAACACGACTATTCGGCATGCGTGTCGGCGCCACAAACTTTTTTGAGACGCGTTGGTGGCTATTCTGCATGCATCGCAAAGAACGAGTGAAAAAATTTTAAATGTTTATTGTTTATAAAACAGGTCAAGTGCTGATACCAACTGCTTGGCGCGCGTGTCAGTGACACCAGCGGTACGACACGCGAGTCAGTGACACCGACTCTGTTTTCCACGCGCGTCAGCGACACCAGCTGTTTGACATGAGTGTCAGTGACCACATTTGTTTGACACGCGTGTCGGTAACACAACTGCTTACGAGTGTCACAGGGGGCGTGATCTAATTCTGGTGTTTTCCGTTGACCTCAGTTGCTAGAGATGCATGGCGGTGGCTTCCCTTGAAGAGCTTGTGCAGAATTAAAATAATGTATTTCCCATGTTCTAATACGTCAAATATCCTCACGAGCAATATTCGTCAACTATTTCCCATGATCTTATAGTAATCAACTTTTTCAAACGAAATAATTTTAATCAACTGTTTCACGAGTACCAATAGTAAATCATCTATTTCACAAGTGCTAATGGTAAATCATCTATTTCACAAGTACTAATAGTAAAAAAAAAATCTATATCACAAGTATTAATAGTAATCGACTATTTCACAAGCACTTGTAGTAATCAACTATTTCACAAGTACTAATAGCAAATCCTCTATTTCGCAAGTACTAATAGCAAATCCTCTATTTCACAAGTACTAATAGTCAATTATCTATTGCACAAGTTCTTATAATGTAGCTATGTACTATATACACAATTTATTATTATTATTTTTTTGTGGTCCAAACTGGCTGTCAACTCCAATATCTCACACGTAGTACTAAGGCTGTCAACTCCAATATCTCACACGTAGTACTAAGGCTGTCAACTCCAATATCTCACACGTAGTACTAAGGCTGTCAACTCCAATATCTCACACGTAGTACTAAAACATCAACATGATCACACGTTTGTTATGAACACTCCCCCCGTTTCCCCCCATTAAGTCCCACTAAACGTAGACTCGCGTGACCTGATATCCACCTGACCTGGCAGTATCACACCGTGCACATATGACAGTTTTGCCGTGCTGTTAAAGGGTACACAACCCGCTGCTTAAAGTCCAACCCAGATTATGTATTCACCAGGTTTCCGGGCGGGCGTTTGTCCTATAAATAGCCCAATCTCTTTTTTTTTTTAACGCGGGTTTGCTTACGTCACTCTTTTCCTACGCCAATGACCCAGCCTGCCTCATCTGAATGGTAAACTTCAAGGGTCTACGAAGATTTTTTGGTGACTATGAGTTCACCCCTGATTCGGTCACTACTAAGGGTGTCAAACTACTATTGGCAATAATTCCAGATATCAGTTTTGAAACATATAAAAAAACAATTTTTTAAAAATTATTTTTTTGTTAAAAGTTAACTCAATTTTTGTTTCTTCCGGTTTTCAAGTCCTTTTTTTAAAAAAAAAATAATAAAATATTTAATTAGCAACGTTTCCCAGATTTAATCAACATTTTAAAACTAATTAATATGAAAAAAAAAAAAGACTCTTAGAAAAGTATTAAACAATTTGTATAATTCATAAAACATGTACCAGCTTCGAGAGTTCTGACGGTGCCGACAGCTTCCTAGCAAAATGAGATGACTGAAGCTTGGAATGAAATACGGGAAGTACGTCGTCGCCTCGTCCTGGCAGGCGGCTATTCTGCATGCATCACAATCAACGGGTGAACAAATTAATTGTTTATTGTTATAAAATAGGTCAAGTGCTGATACCAAACTGCATGCATGTGAGAGCCACCATTTCTCTAATTGTTATTCTATCTAATGATCCCTAGGATTCCCCTGTGGGGACATATGCCATCATTTGAGACCACCTGCAGGAGATGGTTATTTCTTATTTCCACTGACATGACGACGAAATGTTATCAGTTTCAAAATAATAGAATTGTTAAAGGCAGAATCCCCCCCAAAAAACCCCCCATGTATTGTAAACGGGAGAGAGCTAAGGCAGCGGTTCTCAATCAGTGGGTCGAACCCCTTTTGGTGTCAAACGATCCTTACACCGGGTTCGCGCAAGACCATCGGAAAACCCATATTCATGAAGTAGCAACGAAAATAATTTTATCCTTGGGGGTCACTGCAACTTGAGGATCTGTATTACATGTTTCGCTGCTTTAGGGAGGTTGAGAACCATTCAGCTAAGGGATCGTTTTATAAGTGCGTCTCTTTGGGCAACGGAGACATTCGTCACAAAGGAAGGAAATTGTAAGAGTTGATTTTGTAAACAGTGTTATCAAAATGTAAAAAGAAAAAAATTATATTGTAATAATAGGAAGTTTAATACTGATATTTGAACAGAAATATATATATATATATATATATAAAGCAATAACAAAAATCTTTAAATGGATGGTCAAAAGATAAAAAAAATAAATAAAAAAGGCAAAGAGGGATTTGAATGAGGGACACTGGTGTCATGTGATAGCCAATCACTGCTTAAATTGTAATCGTGACGAAATAAAATGTTTAGTGTACACAGACTGAACCACCTTTGTCCAACTCCGAATAGTGAGTCAGCTCTAGCAATGTACACATAATGAGTCAACTCTAGCAATGTACACAAAGTGAGTCAACTCTGTCCATGTCCACATACTAAGTCAACTCTGTCCATGTCAAATTTCTAATTCAACTTTGTCATTCTCTACATACTCAAGACTAACTGTGCCAATGTCCACATACGAGGTCAACTATGTCCATGTCCATAAACTAAGTCAAATCTGTCCATGTCCACATATTAAGTCCACTCTGTCTATGTCCTCAAACAAAGCTGACTCATCCAAGACACCAGCCATGTAATCCAATATCTGTCATTTCATATTACACTTTGTCCATACGATGTATAGTTGGGTTTGCTGTACGGCCTCGGGCCACGATTGTTCCTTAACATGGTGGGGCGGCTAAATCTTCGGGAGCCCCGGGTGGCACAAGCCCTAGACACCCACCCACCCACTGACACACAGACACCCTCCCACTGACACACAGACACCCACCCACTGACACACAGACACCAACACACTCACACACAGACACCCACCCACTGACAAACAGACACCCACCCACCCACTGACACACAGACACCCACTCACTCACACACAGACACCCAAACACCCACTCACTCACACACAGACACCCACCCACCCACTGACACAAAGACACCCAAACACCCACTCACACACAGACACCCACCCACCCACTTACACACAGACACCCAAACACCCACTCACACCCAAACACCCACTCACTCACACACAGACACCCACCCACTCACTCACACACAGACACCCACCCACTCACACAGATACCCAGCCACACACAAACACCCACCCACCCACTGACACACAGACACCCGCCTACACATGTGGTGTGTGATTACAGATTTATACTGTTACGTTACCAATAGATATACACATACATCTTAGCGCTCAGACGGGTATATATGTTTGAATATGGGAAAATGTTCTTCAAAACACTAAACACAAGAAGTGAGTCTTGCTGAAATACAGTTGTTATCCAACATGTACATTTGATTCACGTTATCATCAATCGTAGGTACAGCCATGCCTTCTCGTTACAATAAACTACATTTAAAACCGGTACTGTGTTTGTAATTATTAGATGAGAAGTAAGTACATGTGCTGTGTTTATAATTATTAGTTGGTAAGTAAGTGTCGGTACTGTGTTTGTAATTATTAGATGGTAAGTAGGCAATCTCTTTGTAATAACTGCAATCAACTGAGGATTAGTCCAAGTATGTTAAATTATTCTGTCGACGAGACAAGGGTGAGAAACCCTAGAGCCGAGCATGTATTAATGCAAACATTTCCATATGCATTCATTCCTTGAGCCCTGTACGTCATCAGTTGAAACCCCCCCAAAAAAACAAACAAACAACAGATGAACTCTTATTCATTATGTTATATATACTTAATGTCAAACGTGCAACTCTATGGGATGAAATAACAAAGAGATCGTTGTACTTTGGGGTCTTATATTACACGTTGTAACTATCACTTTCATCAACGATTGCAGCGTAATGTTAGATAATCTCGTAAGCCCATATTATCATAACACACAATTCTCCACGTGACAACTAAGGTCACTAACACTACCAGAAATTCAATAGCGCGCAAAATAAAATTTCCGATAACTGCACTAAATTTGGGCTCTTAAAAAATATCGCAAGTGCATCTGGTGCGCATTTTTTTATTTTATTTTTTTTAAAAATAAAATTATAAGCAAGGTTTTTACAATATCTCCAAACCTGGTTATGCAGCATATTTGATCTTTTGTAAGAATTTAAAATTTAAAATATAACTATATTCTTCAAATAAACATACTTAAAATATACTTTGAACTATATTTAAACAGAATTTGTAGTACTTTGAAAGGGGTGGAAATATTAACATAGTTTAGGGGCGTACTGTGGTATACCTAGAGGGTTACCATCCGCAGGACATTTTTATTAATGATAATGTTTTAGATATTTGTGTCCAGGGCTGTGCTCTTAGATCCCCCCCCCCCCAACCCGCAGGCAGCAGAAGACGAGCAACAGAAAAGTGGGCTTACTTTATGAGTGGACCAATATCTCAAACCCAAATATGTTTCACACCGGAAATAGGTATGTAGATGTTTTAAAACTAATGACACAATGTATTTAACACATTTGGGGCGGGAGGGTAGAGGGGGGGTAGAGGGGGCAGAGGGGGGGGGGGGGTAGAATTTTATTTGGGAAGCTATTGTCTTTCAACACGATTATATTATGATTGTGAAAAAGAGGTTTTTGGATGGCTTTAACAAAAAAAAAATATGTGTTACACCCAACGATGAAATTTACAGTTGAATGGCGTTAGCACATTGTGTACACATTCACAATAGGTGTCCCTATGCCCCCAAACTCAATGAAGTTGGAAAGTGGAAAATAGTGGGGAAAGGATTTCCTTTGAAACTAAGAACATCGAGATGGTCCCATTTTTTTAAAAACAAAGGTGAAGTTCAGGGGCGAGATTCGGGGGGGGG